CTATTTAAATCATCATATTATAATACACTATTTACTTCGGATTGCAAGGCTTTATCAAAAAGCTTGTCATTTGCAAGAGTTCAAATTATTCAGGAATCTCTAGCCGTAGCCTAACCTTTTAAAGATTATTTTCAATGAGCAGTGTTACCTTAATTCTCATACAAATAACAAAACAAGTCCAGTTCTGAAGTTGATTATGCTTATTGATCTCCCAATGAATGTAGACCTAATTTTATTAGATAATTTTGTTTCAATATTTCTTTATTTTCATATTAGGATAATGTAACCTAAACCTGAAGAGTTTGTTTGTTTTTAAAAAAGCTCAATTACATTACACATACAAAATGTGTTGAAGATGTATGATAATACAATGGTTGAAGTAAAATTTGAAATTTGATTATCAGCTATAATATCCCAAGGACATTGATAACTAACGAAATAATTTTATCACAGTTAGATAATTAGGATGATTGTGAATGCTCCTTGGTTCGTGCGGAATGAAGCCATCCGCAGAGATTTGCAGCTGCCTTCCATTCGGCAGTCCATCCAGTTGAGGAATGAGAGAGTTTTCGAAAAAACGGAAACTCATGAAAACCCGTTAGTTAGGGAAGCCACAGATTATGCTGTAGACGACCCCTCCCGATATAGACACTCTGTCGAATGAGGCCCTCATGTCCCCCGTTAACGGATGAATAACTTTTTCATCCATCCCATCCCAGCCAGGTAGGGCGGCACTGATGTCTAAGGACTTCATGCCGTCACCAATCAGTCATGAACCCATTAGTCCCTCTCAAGACCAACAATCAGCCAAAAGGGTAGGGGAGCTGGTCTCCAAACCTGGATGAAATGACGATGACATTCTGGCGCTTTCTCCTATAGCACTTTATGATTTTCAGCGATCGTACGCGAGCGCCTCCACCAAATGTCACGCTCGGACTCGTTGAGTAATTTACTCGCTTAATGAGTTTTGGCTTGCGAAGGGTTTAGTGATGGCTTTGAAAATAATGAACATACGTACAAAAATAATGTCATGATTTTATATATTGAATAACGATACAAAAATTAATACAGTACTATACTAGATTATAATTGCGCGCCTGGAGATATGTGGCAAGCAATATTCAGGATGAGGTGTGCCCATATCACACCTCATCCACTGACCCCCTTTCGCCACTCTTGATCTCTAAAAAACGATTATTGCTGGCTTTAAATGTATCAGCAATAATTGATCTAGATCACCAACTTCTGAAATTATTGATTAAATATCAATAAAATCATGAAGCAAGACAGTAAAGAGATTTGTAACAATATATTCAGAACATTTACATAGAATATGTACAACCATATTGTCCTCGAGTATACTCGTAGTTTTATCAGGTAGTTTAACTTTTTGAGTTGTGTTTTAAAAATGTGAAGATGAAGAGTTTTGTCAAACCTTGTATACTACCATATTTTTGCAATTTACTGCTGAATACTACCATTTCTAATATTTGGTCGATGTTCCCGAGATTTCGCAGTATTAGAAACAGTATTAGGCTCAATAGTGCTATTTATTAGTTGATCAGGAAAAACTCCATACTTCACCGATATATCAATAAAATGTAACAGCACATGGACAATGACCCCATATGTAGGTTTCAAGAATTTTGTAATTACAATTTCGCTACATTTATTTTCCAAATCATTAACAATCTTCAAGAGATTAGCAAATTCTATTTTCTGAAACTGTAAAAATGATTTTTTCTATGACAATAGACAAAGATATAGATAATTTTTACACTAGTTTCATCAACGTTTGTGAGTTCTTGAAAACCTGCCAGAAGATGCTCTTCATACATTGGCCACCCTAATAAATAACTCATAAGCTGTACGGATTCCAGAGAAAAAAACTCATGTAATGACATATTTTCATTTCTCCAAGAAATATACACAAATGTCAACTGCGGGGAGGCTGCAGCCGCCGTGTTCTGCGACTTCAGCAAAGCTTTTGACTGTGTTGATCATCAAATACTATAGGCTTAACTTCACCATTACGGTTTCAGAGGAGTACTAAACAATTGGATAGAATCCTACCTGACCAATAATCGCACACAAATGGTTAAAACTTCATCCGTTTATGATAAAGACTGGGTAACCGTGGTTTACGGGTACATACTGGGATATCTCGGGTAAATTTACAATTTTTGCAGATGACCACTACTTTATGGCATGACAACATGTGAGTATGTGAGTAAGATCTCCTAGGACACGGTTTTTCCTCCAATTTGTTGTGAAAGGTTTCGATAGGGGGTGAACAATCTTCATTGAATTTTTTGAAAGAATCGATATAGTCATACGGTATTTCACCCTTTTTTGTCGAAATCTACTCTTCATCATTCGAGAGGTTGGAGAACTGTGATATGAGATTTGGAAAATCTGATATGATTCTAACGTATCCAGCAAAAAACTCATGAATCTGAATGAGTTAAAAAATCTGAAGTGGATCTTGCTACCAGAAATATGTTTAGTGAAGGAGATATAATTTTCCTTTGTTATCGGCCAAACGGCGACACTTCCATTGAGATCCAATGCAATATTTTCTATAACAAAATGTGCATCATACCCCGATAAGTTATGAAACACGATGGGAATTGTTTGATCATCTTGATAGTTAATAATGCACTCATTGTGTGATGGTGTGTATTTTTAGGTATTAGACGATTATGGTCGCATACTATTTTGTCTGATATATTGAATGGTTTGTCACATATATGACAATGAGTTGCTGCCTGTGTTCAGAACTGCAGATTTTAAGTGATCAAGGCTGATACACTGAGTTCGGTGTTCCAGAAAGCTTTCATTAAGAACTACGACACATTTATCCAAACCAAAGTGACTAAGTTTATTACATAAAAGACTGTGGTCTAAGGTATCAAAAGCTTTACCAAAGTCCAATAAAACTAGACATGTAACATAATTTTTATCGGTTGCTTTGAAAATATCATAATCGAACTGGATAAGGGTTACATAGAGAGAGCCGTAACAACAATAAGGTTTCTAGGGGGTGTTCATTGATAACAATTTGAAAAGCATGCAATGAACTTAAATAAAAAACTGGGCTCTGGTTGTTTTGCTGTAAAAATGGTTTCGCAGGCACTGAGATCCTCTGCTGCAAAAATAGTATAAGATGCATTAATCGAATCCAATCCCATCTATACGGCTCCCCATTTTGGGGAGTATGCAATAATGTCATGCAAAGCATCTTAATTACACAAAAAAGAGCAATTATTAAATACATTTCTAAAGCAAAGGCACGTGAGCCATGCAACCGACTTTTTGTCTTGCATAAGCTACATACTGTTGCCATATTCATAGCAGTTTGTCTAATCAAAAAACATCTGAATAAATCCAATACGGCTAACTACTATCCTACCCACAAGCAAAACAGTATTAACTTACCCAGACCGATCTCTACTTTAATGAAGGACTATATTATTTACAATGGTTGCAAGATGAGAGAAATTAACACTTTAAAAAGGCTATTTACTTCTTGCTGTGTAGTCATCCATATTAATTTATGTAGATACATTTAAATTAAATAATTTTTTATTGCTAAAGATTTTAACCTCAATTCTCCTTTATAGAAAAGTGCCAGAACCCTTTGTTTTACTTGTTTTCTTTCATATATGTTGACTGACTAATTGTAGTTTTTAGTGTTTTGTTTGTAGGAGTGCTTTGTCCAAAAGAATTCCATGTTCTTTATGCCAATAAAGTATTGACTGATTGATATATCTGTAATACTATCAATGAAAAATTTATTTAAACATTCTGAGACTTCATCCTTTTATCATCCCCATTACATCGAAATCCATTTCAAGTTTTGATGTAAGGAGTGATTCAATTTTCTTGTCTGAATGGTACTATGGAAAATATTTGACAGTATTAGGTTCGTGAAAAACACTTCGATTTCTCATGTTTTCTTTCTCATATAAGAATAGGTATTTGGTACTAAGCCCTTCCTCTATGTAAGAAAGAATGTTGTATCATTACTAGTGAATATGAAACAATTACTAGTCTAAACTGGTTGAAAAATAATTTCTAGCAGACAAACCAATTAAACAATACAACAGCCAAAACTGTAAAAGACAGTCCAAAAGCAAATTAAGACGAACTACAAAAACTATCTCGAGTGTCTCATTAACAGAGCAGTCATAGGAGTGAATTCTTTCAACTTACAGGTAGAATCAAGTATTGAAGAACAAGTGGCGGCCGAGATCCCGAAAATAGAATTCCAATAAAGTTGAATAACAGTCAAAAAAGCTACAAACCCAAAGGAAGAAGTGGAAAATGGTTTCTACAGTTACCAGATATAAAAAAATTGGTAGTGATCAAGGAGGTGAACACTTAAAGAGATGTGAAACAAACGGAAAAAATGTCACTTTTTGTTTTCAATGTCCCGGATAAAATGAAATTATGTTGGAAGCTGTATTAAATAACGTGTAAACTATACTGATGTCCATTTGAATAGACTAGCGGCTCATACTGCCAAAAGAGATAGTGAAGCATTCTTATAGTGAATCACACCAGTAATCATATTTGATTTGAAAAAATGACTGCTGTGCTTGCTCTCAGAGGAGAGTACTTTCTTATGCAATTCTGACGATGGTCTATAATATTTCAATAACTATGCCTAGATTTTACCACCCCGTAATATCCATTTCATGTATCGCCATTTTTCAATAACTTCAAAACTCATTTAAATCATGAAATATAAGAATTCTGCAACGACTATTTGTGCATGTTAACATCCCAAACTTTCATTGACTGCCTCATTATAGAAATGAATGAAACCTTTAGAACTCTAGTCTAATATATCTGAGTATAAATCAACCATCCCAAACACTTAATAGATCTGAAACTGATACCAGTTATTTTAATTTACCTGAAAAACATAGATCAAGTACTTCGTGAGAAACTATAAAATGTCAAAGTTTAAAATACATCTGTAAAATAAATAAAAATACAATTTTATATTTTTTTATTAGATACAGACGTTCGTCAACATCAAATTCATCAACTCCACAAATAATAATTCATTCTGTTTGGAGTACTCTTATATCATAGGTCCATGAAACAAAAATAAAACCATTTTGCTTACTCCGATTTATCGCTAGAATTCTGCCTTTTCATAGATTTCAGAGCTTTCTCTCGCAGTTTCTTCTCATCCTCGTTAATAACTTCAGCATCGCTATTGTCTGAATCATCGCTATCCTGCTTTCGTTTTTTGTGTTTTTTATGTTTCTTCGAGTGTTTCTTCTTCTTCTTATGCTTCTTGTCTTTTTTCCTTTTCTTAGTATCCCCATCATCATCAGAATCGCTTCCCGACTTTGCCTTTTTTTTGTGCCTCTTCTTTTTTGAAATATCTTCATCGCTATCCGAGGAGCTATTGTCCTTCTTATGTTTTTTTGATTTTTCTCTATCAGTTTCGTCTGAACTATCTTGTTTCTTCTTTTTCTTAGCGGGAACGTCACTGTCACTAGAATCCTTCTTTGACTTTTTTCCTTTTTCTGAACTGACTGACCTGCGCTTCTTCTTAACTCTCTTCTCTTCTTCAGAGTCGGAGCTCTGATGTCTTTTTTTTGTAACCTTCTCCTCACTACTGTCACGTTTCTTCTTTTCCTTTTTCTTTTTCATCTCCAGTTCTCTAGAAGATCGGTCATCATCACTGTCACTAGAACTTGAATCCCGTTTCCTAGGCTTCCTTTTCGTTTTCACTTTCCGTTTCTCTTTCTTTTCCTCTTCACTGTCGGAGTCACTTGAGTTCGAATCAGATTCACTCTTCGGGGGTTTTCTCTGAATTTTCTTTGACTTCACTTCTGGCTTCTCCTTATGTGGCTTCTTCTTTTCTTCCTTGATGCTAGTAGCTTTGGCAGGCTTAGGGGGAAACTCCTCAGCCTTGATGAATGGTGAAGGGGTTCTTGACAAACTCCTGGAATACCTGGGAGGACCATGGGGAGGAATAGGGTAGTTCTCTCGAGGACTGATGCTCCTGGACTTTCTCTTTTCCTTCTCTCTTTCCCTGCTCTTCGCTTCATTGGCAGCAGCTTGGTCAGCTTTCTTCCTCTTCTCCATCTCTTCACGTTCCTTTTTCTCATGACGGTGGAGTTCTTCTTCTATCCTCCTTCGAGCCTCTTCAACCTTCCTTGGTGGTGGTTCAGGATGACGTTCTTCTTTCCTAAACCCTTGACGTATTAACCTAGAATCACCTCTCTGGTCCCGCCTATCATCAGCACGTTTTTGTGGACTGGGACTGGGTCTTCTTGGGGGTCTTGACCTCTCTCGTACTGGCGATCTTCTTCTGATGCTACCTCTCTCTCGGGATCTTCTTCTGGATCTAGAACGTCTATCTCGCTCTCTAGAAATTCTTCTTTCCCTGTCTCTGGGATTCGAAGATGCTCTTCTATACACATTCCGGGTTCGGCTTCTGCTTCTTCTGAATCTAATGATAATGAAATAAATGAATTATAACTTCACTTCAAAAGTAAAAATCAAATCAAATATGATGAACAAAATGTCAAACATATACAGATTTATTATTACTAACCTATTTCTACTTGGGCTCCTGGTTCTTCTTCTAGGGCTACTTCTTCTAGGTCTGCTGTTTCCCCTTCTTCTACTTCGGCTAGTACTTCTTCTTCCATAGCTTCCTCTTGTAGCTGCTGCACCTCCTCTTCTTGGACTAGGACGTCTGGACAGACTTCTTCTTCTTCTCTCACGGCTAGGACTTCTCCTTCCCCGCGAGGGGCTACGTCTGGAAGTAAAAATCTATCTGTAATTTGAATTCAAAATTAATGTCAAAGCTATTAGGTTGACTGGTACTGGGTCACAATTGAAGAACATAAAAAACTATTTTCCATACATATTCTACTCTAATGAATACATAACTTACTTCCATCAAAAGTAATGTAACAGATAATCAAACCAAGAGAGGATAGATTTTGACATTGACAATTTTGATAATTACCCGATTTGTCAATTTCTACCAATTCAATTTTTTTTATAAAAAAAAGTACATTTAATAACGAAATAACTTACAAACTCATGTTCGGATATGGAGTAATTCTGAAATGAAATAGTATTTTTTTTAAACAATTAAGAAAACTAGTGTAACAATTAAGAAAACTAGTGTATGAACTAATTCTTTCAAATTGATGCTGATGAAAAAATTGAGGAGGAAACTGGTAAGCTTCATTTGCTGTTACCTTGGGGCATTGAAATACATCCACCACCCTCAATTAAGATTTCTCACAAACAAGTTTGAAGTAAACTGTTTAAAGATTGAAAACAATTATTGAAAATATTCATTTCAAAGTTAATAATATAAATAGTTTTGTGGTCCCAATGAAAAGAATGAAATTTTTACTCACATTTTAGTGTTTTTTCACAAAAAAAACATTAAAAAATTCAAGTTTTTAATTCATCTGTATCAACTTCTTTATTGAAAAGTTATCTTCAAATGGAAAAAAAAATTACCTTCAAGCAAAAAATTTTTTGATTACCTGAAAACTGAAAAATGCTGTAAAGAACCTTAATAAAATGGCACTTGAAACAAGCACAATTTTTAAGGATTTACCGTGGGCAAAATAACTCACCGCATATCAAAGAACGACTAAAAACAAATCCCACCTTCTTGAAATACTCCGTTTCCTACTAGGTGATCTCCTCCTAGACAGGCTGCGTTTTTTTATCCTAGGACTGTCCTTCCTGCGGGGCGATTTGGATCGTGATCTTTTTCTCTTTCCTTCAGGCTCGCTATCAGAACTATCTTTATTGGATCTGTAGTGTCTCTTCTTCTGTACGCTATCTTCTTTCTTCCTAATCTCAAAGTTCTCCTTGGATCCTGAACTCGACCGAGACCGTCTCTTGTCCTTGACATCTTTGGAAGTGGATCTGGATCGACGAGCCTTGAATGATCTGCTGGATGATCTCGATTTGGACCTTGACTTGCTCCGTGATTTTGAACGAGTCCGACTTCTTGATTGAGACCTCGATCGGGAAAGCTTTTTGTTCTCTGCCAAGGACATCAGCTTCGCTTGCAACTTGGAGACGGGTAGTGTAGGGGCTGAAGTACTATGGAGTTGATTAATAATGTAAAGTTAGGCGATTCTGTTTGACCCGACTTTTAAAAGCATATGAAGATTTCAGAAAATAATGAGTTACAGGGAAAGCTGTGTGATAAAAATCAAAACATACTAGCTGACTTGGCAAACGTTTTTTTGACACAATAATTACAAATAATAATAATCCCTCATTGCTATAGTGTGTACAATGTTTCGTTAGTCCACGTTTAGCTAACACAAACAAACTGAATGGTTTGCCCACTCTAGAGCATGCCGAGTAAAATTATCAGTGTGAAAAACAGGTTGTGCTCAAATCCAAGCCACAACCGGACATTGTTTGGCCTTAGGACTTATTAATAGTCATTGCGAATGCCAATCTAATTGGAAATTGCACACATTTAAAATTAATTGGCACATATGATCTTCCTCATGAAGATGATCCAACGCCCTTCGTGGTATTAGCCAGGGGAGTAGTTGTTTTCTGATAGGCGTCAGTCCATTAAACTTACTGTGTAGGTATATCGAGACTGGCTTGAACGTTTAAAGTTCATTTGCTTTAGATTCGTTTATTGCCAGTCTTCAAGCATAGCCCACAAACTAATAAAGTTAAAAATGATTGATGATTGAATTATTAAAATGGCTATAAAAAAATAGGGGTTGGTGATAGAAGGGAAAAAAATGTGATTTGCTTTCAGAAACTATCTAGATTCCATATTTGTGAGACATCAATTAAAATTTTTCACAATTTATGATGAAATAGGAAATAAAAATTTTTCTTTTTTCCTTTAATATCAAACATACAACTAGGAAAACATATTTTCAGTAGTACTATCAGTAAGAGGACAATTGAGCTGAAGGCAACATTATTGAGTACAATTCATCACTATTAATTGAGAATATTTAGTTAAAAGCATTTTGCATTTTATATTTCATTTCAACAACAAATCCTGATCTGAAATCTCTTTCCATGAATTCACAATTATGAAAATAATTTTTTATCATGACGATTCATTCAAAAAGTGAAAAATAAAAATATTTCAAATAAGACTTACTTTGTAAGTTTGGATTGTCCCTCAACAGGTATTGAATCTTCCCTACCATTTGTTCTTTCACTTGGGCTGGCTTCACCATTATTTCTTATTTCTGGATCTTTATCTAACGACCTTGACCTACTTCTAGAAACTCCATCTCTACTTCTTGATTTTCTATCTCTACTCTTTGATTTCCTCTCTCTACTCCTGGATGTTCTCTCCCTGCTCCTCGACTTCCTGTCTCTACCTACCTTCCTGTCTCTACTCTTTGACTGACTATCCCTGCTTCTAGAATTTCTGGACCGGCTCCTTGATTTCCTATCGCGACTTCTAGACTTTCGCTCGACACTCCTTGACCTAGACCTCGATTTATGGTCACGGCTCTTAGACTTCCTGTCCCTGCTCCTTGATTTCCTGTCTCTACTTCTGGACTTCCTATCCCTGCTTTTAGATTTCCGATCCCTGCTTCTTGACTTCCTGTCCCTGCTCCTAGACTTGGCATCTCTGCTTCTTGATGTCTTCCTATCCCTGCTTTTTGATTTCTTATCCTTGTTTCTACCAGACCTATCTCTGGAACTTTTGCGAGGTCTTGACCTGGATCTTGAACGGCGAGATCTTGATCTATCCCTGTCACGATATTTTCTTTCCTTCTCAGATTTCTCTCTTTCTCGTTCCTTCTCGCGAATCTCCCTTTCCTTGTCTTCTTTTTCCTATATTAATAATTTACATCTTTAATTCCGTATATTAATGTCTATTGATGAATATTAAAAATTCATCAGAATTTTCTACCACAAAGTGAGACAAGACATTTCAGATATACAAAAATTTATAGTTTGACCTTTATTGACTGGTAGAGTGATGAACTTACAATATTCTATTTCATTACTTCTTGAAATGTTTGAAAAAAAAATAGTACATAACATTACATTACATTGAAGTCAAATTGACAGTAATTTAGTACTGCTCTTCATCTTGCAGTTATTTCAGAAAACAAAATTACCAGACAGTAAACCTGTAGCACTGAATCGCCTCAAATGTATGGAGAGGAAAATGGATAAAAATAAGGAATTTGCAGCTGACTACTGTAGAAAAATTGAAGAATATACTCAAAAAGGCTATATTCGAAAGCTGAGCGTTACTGAAGCTAAAAGAGAGGGCCAAAAAACTTGGTATTTACCACATTTTGGAGTGGTAAACCCCAACAAACTAGGCAAGCTGAGATTGGTATTTGATGCCGCAGCAAAGTCGAGTGGAACTAGCCTCAATGATCATCTTCTTCAAGGTCCAGACTTGTTAATAAACTTAACAGCAATTATTTGGAAATTCCGTCAGAAGTCGATCGCCTTTTGTTCAGATATAAAGCAGATGTTCCATCAAGTAAGAATCCGAGATGACGATTGCTCAGCTCAACGCTTTTTCTGGCGAGGTATGGATCGATCAAAATATCCTGATGTTTACAAAATGAAGGCCATGACATTCGGAGCGACATCTTCTTCCTGTATGGCTCAGTTTGTGAAGAATAAAAATGCTGAAGAACATTATCACATACTTCCCAAGGCAGCTAAAGCAATCATTGAAAAACATTATGTTGACGATTAATTAAATAATGTAGAAACTGAAGAAGAAGCCGCCAAACTCATTTTGGAAGTAATAGAAATCCATGGAAAAGCAGGATTCAGCATTCGCAACTGGATCAGCAATTCTCAAAATGTTATTGACAAAATTCCCGAACATTTAAGATCCAGAACTCAGAAAAATTTGAATTCATTTCTTCCACAACCTGCAGAAAGAGTACTAGAACTTTGGTGGAATCCTGAATCAGACAGTATTATATTTTCACTGAATAAAGGAAATATAGATTCTAAAATTCTAGAAAAGGGAAGTTCTAAAATTGGTTATGTCCGTTTTTAATCCACTAGGCTTCCTATCACCACTAGTTGTAAAATTCAAAATCTTTCTGCAAGAACTCTGGAAAAAGGGAATCAGTTGGGATGATGAGATATCTGAAAATATGAATACCAAATGGATATATTGGAGAATCTCAACAGCATCAAGGAAACATGCGTGCCCAGATGTTATAGTTGTCATTTATTTGCCAGTGAAGAAGTAGAACTACATGGTTTTTGTGACAGTAGTGAGAAAGCATTTTCAGCTGTCGTTTATCTACAATTTATTGATTGATTGATAAATTCTGTGAAAGAAAGTTTAGAAATCAACATATCAAAAATTTACTTATGGACAGATTCCAGAATTGTACTACAATGGATTCGATCTCAGACAAAAAGATATAAAACTTTCGTAGCAGTAAAGGTCGGAGAAATAACTAAGATAACAGATGTATCTAACTGGCACTGGGTTTCTGGAGAAGATAACGTGGCAGATGAAAGTACGAGAGAACTTTTCCGTGCAAATGAAAGTCGAAGGCTTATTGGACAAAAATTTTTGACATTTCCTAAGAATCATTGGCCGAAAGAAACTGATGAACCCCTAGAAGAAATGGAATTGGAAATGAAAAGAGAAACTATACTGACATCAACAATTACACACAGTTATTTGCCCAGCCTAGACAGATTTTCCAAATACCGACGACTAAATAGAGCCACTGCATGGATGCTTCGATTCATCAACAACTGCAGAAAAAGGAAAGTAAGCACAAATTTGGAGTGTTCAGAAGTGGAAAAAGCCGAAGAAATGTATATAAAATATGTACAGAACGAATGTTTCCATCAAGAAATTGCAGATTTACAAAACAAAAGGACTATCAGTAAATCAAGCCGTATATATACCCTGACGCCATTACTTGATGATAAAGGAATACTAAGGATAGGAAGACGACTTGAGCAAGCCAAAGATCTCACCTATTTCCAGAAACATCCAGCAATACTTGATCAAAAACATCGTTTCACGAAATTGCTAGTTGAGCACTATCATATTAACTTTAACCACCAAGGACAAGAACTCATTATGAATGAACTCCGTCAGAAATTTTGGATTTTGAAAATGAGAAGTGCAGTTCGCTAATGCAAAACCGAATGTTTCTTCTGCAGGAAAATGAGAGTCCAACCTCAAGTACCTGAAATGGGGCAGTTACCTTGAAAGCAGACTACAAAGTTTCACAAGACCCTTCACTATTACAGGCATGGACTATTTTGGTCCAATGGTAGTAACTGTTGGAAGGAGAACTGAAAAACGATATATCGTGCTTTTCACCTGCATGAGTATTCGAGCAGTCCACTTGGAAATTGCACATTCGCTCGATACTGATAGTGCCATCATGGCCATCAGAAGATTCATTAGTCGACGGGGATATCCAAGAGAAATACATTCCGACAATGGCACCAATCTACGTTCTGCAGATCGAGAATTGATAGAAGCAATAAAAAACTTTGACTCAACAAAAATTTCGGAATTTTTATGCTTTAAATCTATAACGTGGAAATTTATACCGCCATCTTCACCTCACATGGGCGGAAGTTGGGAAAGACTTGTAAGATCGGTTAAAAATGTGCTGAAAGTTACATTAAAAAAGAGACATCCCAAAGAAGAGGTACTTCAAACACTTATTGCTGAAGCTGAGAACATGGTGAACAGCAGACCACTGACTTACGTTTCGAACGATGCCCTGGATCCTGAGAGCCTAACCCCCAATCATTTCCTACTTTAATGTTCTGATGGATCTGCACCACCTACAGAAGAATTTGAGATAAGCGACGCAAACTGCAGAAAACATTGGAGAGTCACCCAAGCGCTAGCAGATATGTTTTGGAGGCGATGGCAAAAAGAATATTTGGTCAACTTGAACAAAAATACGAAATGGTACTCTAAGAAAGAAAATATTTCCCTGGATGACATTGTAGTTGTTGTGGACGACACACTTCTCAGAAATATGTGGCCCATCGGAAAAATACAGAAGGTTTATGAAGGGAAGGATGGAAAAATTCGAGTTGTCGAAGTGAAAACCCAAACAGGAATCCATAAACGACCTGTTGCCAAAATATGCAAATTAATTGGAAAAAACGATACAAATGTTTGAAGAACGAATTCAATGCTGTAGTGATTTCATCACGAGGGGGAGAATGTTGCTGTTAGAATCACCATGTATTTTAATTGAGTTAATCAGTATTTATCACTTGTTTTTATGTTTACAAAAAAAAGAAAAATTTGTTATGACATTGACTTGTTAATATAATTTTGAAATTGAAGATTAAAAATAGTTAAAGTTTGATTCCTGGTTTATTTGACTTTAAATCAGACGAAATCACAGTAGGACTGACTAGTACGAACAGTGGCTATATTGATTGTCTGGAAATAGTCAAGCTTTGTTCTCTTTCTGTGAGGCCTAGAAGGAACAGAAATAGTGATATTTGCAAAATTCCTTATTGTAGAACCAATTTTGGTCAAAATGAAACAATTTGTAGAATTTTGAAGTCAGCAAGTTCATTGGAATTGTTTGATTTACCTTCGATATCTATCAAACGATCTGTTAAAATGTATGATGTAGTTATCAATTCTGTAAAACCTGTACATTTATGGAACTAATTGTAAATTGGCTTGTCCCTCGATATAAATGAATATATCGTAATCTTCAACCTTTCAAAGTCATCATCATTTACTGAATTAGAATTTCTGATTGAGGTCACGATTCTTTACCTTTGCAAAATAGAAGGACACTACAAAGTTTTCAATATTTTACATTCAAGCATTCAACAATTTAGTTACGAAAATACCTATATATTAACATAATTTTTGTACATATCTGAATCTCATGACATTTTAATACTCTTGATTGGATCAGCAAATGTCAGTCTTGTTAATATGAACATAAAAAAAATTTGAAAGGCATGCCCTTCAAAACTATCCATTCCTTCACAATTTCACATAGTACAGAAGTAAAAAGTTCCTCTCTTCTCAACTAACGAAATTTAAATAATACTTTTGAGTACTTTTTGATCAGACAACCAATAGTGTGACATAACTCGCCGACGAGAAAATGCTATTATTTTTTTCAGATAGAAAGAGTAGTGTTAAAATACCTCGTTTGAATGGTATTTCAATTCTGGTCCACTGGTATATTTTTAGGAATCTGCAAACGAATGATATACAGTAGAATCTCATTAATCTGGCAGTTCCATAGACTGATATGTGCAATAATCCTGCACCCTCCGTCCGCGCCTCCTTAGTCTCTATTAGTCTATGCGCCGCGTCGTTGTCTAGCAGTTTAACCTCAAATCTTATGATTACGTGCACGTACGTACATTTACCTGTTGTTTTGAAGTGTGTGTTGAATATGTCAAGTAAACTTTATGAAATTGTTTAATTCTTTCATTATTTTTTCTCTATAATTCAGTAACCTGAACATTCCAATAATCCTCCACCCTATGATTTTTAATAGTGCCGTATTAGTGGGATTCTACTGTATATGATCATTTCAACAAAAATTTTATGCAATACTCACTAGAGTTTATTTCAATAAATATTTGAAATGTTCACTATCGACTTCCTGACAATAATGAAGTGTGTTAACAAATTTATTTTATAATTTTCGTAAGTTAAGGTGGATTCATGCAAGCCAAGCTACTTTCAGTTCAATCCTGAACTTAGTCGATGACTAGTTTTGTATATTGTCTGGTAGCTGATTGAAATAACTGATTCCTATTATTTTAGTTTTGTTGATTTTGTGGCAAGGATGTATTACATTTTTTTCCTAGTGTGGTTCATTCTGTGTTTTGAGAGATTACTTCATGTGTAATTGCATCTGGAGTGGATTGACCTTTTCTGACACCTTATTACAGATTGAAAAAAGATTAAACTTCTCTATACAATCGATTATTTGTTGTGCTAGGACTCTAATATTTTTGAAAAACTTGAAAAAATAATAATCTGCCAGTAATTTACTGAAAGGGTTGGGTAACATTTTTGTAGACAGGCAGCTGTTTCCAAGTCAATAAACGTCCCCTTGAATAAGCTACTATTTATTATCACAGTTAGTGGAACGACAATATTATGTGAGATACACTTGATCAGATAGAAACTTATTTCATAAACATCCAGAATTTTTTAAAATTCAATATTGAATGTAATTGTATGTTTCATATTCATTCACAGACTAAAGTAATAGTGAATGTGATCCTTAATTGCCATATCTGTGATTTCCTAATGATGCACATGAACCAGAATGCATCTTACTAACTATATCGCAGGAATAATTAATGAAATAATAGTTGAATAAATGTATCTCTGCCAATTTCACAATCAACTATTTTCCAAACTGTTGCTAGAGTGATTTATTGGATTCCTAATATTGTTTTCTTTACTTTCGTTAAGAATCTGTTCAATTTTTTTTGCTTCAAATTTCTGTAGAGTCCAAGGGATAGGTTTTACTAGTCTACTTCGAGACTTCATTATTGAAAACAATTTGTGACGATTTTGAAAAACTCTTCAGGTTTATGAAAATTGTTTAGTTATTATCATGGATATTATATAGCAAATCATGACTTGTTACTTCTTCTTTCGAAAAAACCTTACCTAATTTTTGCAAAAATATGGAATTGGTCATAAAATAATATTTCCCCTTCCTGCATATTCTGATTCAAAATAGGCTAGTTCCTGATAATGATTCAACATACTGTTGGACTGCTCATTCATGAAATAACTAAGAGTGATTCAACTCAACCCTGGTCATTTATTTGGGGAATAAATAGGATGGTACAGGCAAACCACGTGAATTTTCAACCAGTGTTGTTTGAGCATGGGGCACCTCCTCAATATGGCAGACTAGTTCAAGGGGAGCTAAAGTAACACTACCTTAGAAACATTCCATAATGTGAGAAAACTTCATCAATGTCTTGATAGTTCGTACTGGAACCTCTGGCATAAAATGAATCTATTCTTGGCTTTCAAAACTACATGTACACTTTAACAAGTGTTGGGCAGTCCGAAAGACAAGACTGTGGAAAAAGATATGTCTGATATTTAAAAAATAAGCTGTAAGGATTGTGATAAGAAATATGTTGATCAAACCAAACGGAGTATATTAGCTCGGTACAAGGAATTTCTTTCACATGTTTGGTTTCATAGACCAGAGAAATTTAGTGTTGCTCAACATGCCGTAGAGAATGACCATAGAATAAGTGAGAAATGTTTGAAATTGTTCAGACAGTTACATGACGAGATACATGTTGTTCCAAATATTTCCTAGATTTACATATAGTCCTTTAGCATCTGAATGATTGCAATAATTTGAAAGGTACACCAGTCATACAAGAAACCTAATATATGTCTCTCTAAAAGCAAAAAAAAAATAAAAAGACATAGAACATGCATTCGAATTTTTTCAATCAAAAGCTTGTCTATCATACGGGCAAACTTCCAACATATCCAATGTACCATATGAAGAGGTATTTAAATAATTCAACCTGATTATTAATTTACTAATAATTCTTTTAGAAAATGAGTCTTGATTGAAATATATGGATAAGAAGAGTAAACAGATTCAACTTTTTAGTTACTGAATGGAAACTACTGACACCTGATAAATTAACATTTATTACCTTCTTTTTAGCCAATTCTTCTCTCTTCAAATCCATAAGTGACTCTGGGATGCCTGTTGGGCTTTCTTGGGCTGATATTAAAAGTGCCCAAAGCTCAGCCATGAATTCCATTGCATTTTTACTTTGTAAGAAACCGGTCAGGTTTATCTGCATCTTCTTGGGATCTGGAAACTGTATTTTATTTGTACAAAAAAGTTTCTAACTGAAGAAATATGCTAACCTCTACATCCAATTGGTTATAAACAAAATTGACAACTACATCATCGTCAATCTTGAGAATTTCGGTGAGCTTGTCCTGAATCCAGGGTTTGATGACCTCTATTTTGATTTTGGACATGTCAACCTACAAAACACTTTGGTTGAATGTATGTCTTTATTAACATATCTTTTCAATTTCTCACCCGTGTGCTCAGGCAAGGGTTGAACTTCATTTGCTTGAGAAGCTTCTTTTCCTTGTCGCTGAATCTGTTGTCCTGATGAGTATCGGTTCCCTTCGTGAAAAAATCCATTCATTTAAGGCATAAAGTGTGATATTTGAAAATTCAAGACGTCTCTTATGGAAATGTTGAAAATCTATTTTTACTTTTTCATTACAATCACGATCAGTCATTACTATAAACTATTGCCACTGAACACTTACCGTATACATGATCATCCAAATAACTTTCTCAGTCTAAAAAGGAATTAGTGGAAAAATTGCGTCCGGTAATTCATCAATAGTTTGGAATCATTGAACCTAACTGCCACCCATTTTCACCAGAAAAATTATGAAACATATATTATTTATTTATGGAGTTGCAATACTCTATTTGCAGTCACAATTTCCAAAAAAATCATACGCACAAAGTTTGCAAGATGAAGGTAATTCAAAAACAGAGTACAAAATGGCGAATGGTTACAAACGAAAGCGTCATCGAAATTTTAGCGTTGTCCAGTGTTGCCGGAAGAAAAATATTTTAGTACTATTTTACCTCTTCTTCTTTTCCATTCGTTGGCCTAAGCAACCATGGCTATCCGGCCAGTTAGTCACGACAGCTATTTGTAAATCCAAGTGTGGTTGTCACATTTAAGTTAGATTTAGAAAAATCCATCCACACTTGGAACATGTAGAGCGGTAAAATTACATAATCTTGTTTAATTTGAGAGGGTTATATTTTTTGGAAGTGGGAGTGACTAATTTTTTGGAAAGAAAGTTTTTGGCTTACTACTACACCTTCTTGATACTGAAAAATGTGGGAATCTTCCAAAGAAAGGAAGGAAGTAATCAATTTCAAAATGAATAACTTTATACATAGATGTCTAGAGCATGCAAAGAAGTAACTTTCAGACAGAAACTGGAAGAAAAAGCTTTCCTGAAACAGCTACTTTCATATAAACATTGAGTTACACGAAAAGAAATTAATTCGAAATAAATTCTCTTATATGAACACTGAATTATACTTAAAACAATTTTCCTACTTAGTTTGTATCAGAAATATTCGTTATGGAATTGATATCAGATATCATTCACATTCTTATCATTCGGGCGTAAATGTCGTTCCTTGCACTACAAAAGCATCTCACTAGTAGAGCACATATACTATTAGTGGGACTAGCCCAATTATCGTCACTGTCTATGTTGATAGTAAAAAACACACTTAAACAACCTGAAGTGGGAAAGGGAGAGGACGGACTGTAATATAGCAGGCCACATTGAGTGTTCATCGTTTGAAAATAATATGATGCAATGTCAAAATTGTTTCTTGGTTATGAGGAAATGCGAAGAAGATGTGCCACTGGTCCTGTGATCCACTACACTTACACGTGTTATGTTTTATTTGAATTTTATTAAGATGTGCCATCGTTAAACAATGACTACCTACTGACTATTCTAATTATAGTGGTGATAAGGTCACGTGGACAGGTCTTCACAGTATGAATCCATGGTTTCTTCAATGGACAATGCATCGATGAGTAATAATATATTCCTCTACGATGTCCTAGTCTAGAATATTCCGTTGACCAGCTGATCCATAGGTTCGATTTGATTTCAGGAAGGAGTCCGTGGTAATCCACTTGAAGATGGTTCATAAGCTACATGTTCTGTCCCAAGGTCAGCTTTATCATTGACCGATATGTGGCAATGACTCTATATCTTCACAAGGTTAATATCTATGCCTTTATGAATCGTTTGTAAAATATATCGTTTGATTTTTAGTGATAAAAAATCCCTATGAGACGAAATTACTGTACTTGTGATGCACTGTTTGGAACCTTTGGTGTAGTAATGGATATTACTGGAATTTCATCCCAACACCAAACCGTTAATTTAACACGTGTTTCGATCACCAAGTGATCATCTTGAAGAGAAAGGTTAATCTTCCTCTTGAATGACGAGTACCACGTGTCCTCTGATAAGTCGTTTTGGGGTTCAACTTAGAACACCTCGAACTTCACTGTTCAAGAAATCTTTCATTTGGAGAACTACGTGGAATAAACTTCATGAGAACATATTTCCAAATGAATTTAATCTCCAGCGATTCGAATCCACAGGCACCGCTCTTAAAGCGCCTTGAGAATTTTCCTGTAGTGCCTGTGTTTGCCCTTAAAAAAACAGGGAAAAGACAGACTTGCTGGTAAAAAGTGCATTTCTAGATCGAATTTAACAAAAAGTTACTTGAAAAAGTTGTGTCTACGGCAATTTTATATCCATATGCTAAATTTTATGCAACTAGGATAAAGTTAACGTTTTGCTTATTTTTGACACTGGTAAAGTGAGGTGAGGTCGCTATCAGCAACCCTATAGCTCTAATTGTGTATGGGTGATCTTGTTGGTTTGTGCTAAATTTTTCTCTATTTTTATAAACGTAGAGAGACATCTCATATATGTACAGACCAGCAACTGTGAGTGTTTCCAGCTTTTTGAATGAGTTTCTGCACGAGTGTCGCTATCCCAAATTAGCAATTATTCTGACCGCGTTTTTGTAAAATGAATAAAATGAATACTCTTTCAGCAGAGGAGCTCATACTCCAATTCAAGATTCAATAGCGCAAGTGACAGCTAATAGTTGCACAATACAGATTTAGGAGAACCTTTCTTTCTCAATGATTTGACATAAATCTCAGTGCATAACAGTTCTTTCACATGGTGAATCTATCTGAGGACTCCAATTGAGCTTAGGATCTTCAAGTGCTTACGTGTTATGATCAGTGACCAGAACTTTTGTATCATCTGCTTATTATGTAACTATATGTACCTTCGAAAGACTATTTGAGTATTGCAGCAAGTCGTTCGCATAAATAAGAAAAAGCAGTGGTCCGAGTATAGACCCCTGTGGAACTCCTTGCTTGTAGGCCAAGGACTGACTGTTAACATCTTGGATTCTCACTGTTTGTGGCCTGTTCTCTAGGTAGGACCTCATCCAATCTTGGGCAACTCCACTAACCCCATAGCGATGCATTTTCTGTATTATCTGATCTGTGATCAAGACAGTCGAATGCTCTAGGAATATCGATGAAAAAACCACAAATTTGAAATTTGTTATCCAAGGCTGTTACTACGTGTGCTATGAAATCATACAAGGCTGTTTCTGTGCTTTTATTTTGCATAAAACCATGCTGGTTTGTCGAAAGTAGTTCATTTTTGAGGAAAAATGATAATAACTGATTTTTAATAATCATTACGTATAACTTGGATATATTAGAGAGAAGACTTACTCCTCTATAGTTCTCATAGCTATTTGAGTCTCCTTTTTTGAAGATTCTCAAGAGGTACCTAATTCAGAGTATGTGAATGACCCGAAGGAGAGACTGGAAATTGTACACAAATTTGCCAGATCCAAATTACAACTTTCCAACGAAAGGACGAAAATACGTTTGACAAAAAGTCGCTGCCGGTGAGCTTCAAGGAGGGCGACGCAGTGTGACTCTACCAACCCCAACGTCGGAAAGGTTTGTGTCCAGAGTTGCGGGGACCATGGCAAGGACCTTACTCGGCAACCAATGGTGTACAGAATCTCAATTGTCACCCAGATGCAAGTCTAAAGCAACAGAAGCAACATAGAGAGACTGAGTCCGTACATGGGTCGAGATGTTCCCTCTTGGAATGCTGTTTGGGGCGAACAATCTCAGGGAAAGGGGTAGTGTTATAAATCATGCCCTAAAGAAAATAACACCGGCCATAAACCAACTGTGACGTGGCTAAGAGCGCACCCAGTCCGACCGAGTTTAAGATCACCAGGGGCTGCCCTCAAGGTGGGGTACTATCTCCCGTTCTGTGGTCGCTCCTGATGGATAGTCTCCTTGATGCCCTCGACAGAAGAAAAGTTGATCTGCAAGCTTATGCAGATGACCTTGTCATCCTGGCAAGGTCCACGTCAGGAAGGGTGTCTTGTGATATCCTCCAAAGCACGTTGCCACTTTCCCTCAATGGTGAGGTCATTCCATTTGGAACGGAGGTGAAATATCTTGGCATTGTCCTTGATAAAAGACTCACCTGGAACGCTCACTTGGAAAAAGTTTTACACAAAGCCAAACTGTCTCTATAGACATGTCGAAGGATTTGTGGTAAAACTTGGGGTTTAGGTCCCAAACAAATCCATTGGATTTATGTGATGATTGTCAGACCAATGATCACTTATGGTGCAATTGCCTGGTGGCCGAAGGCTTTACAGAAAACGGCCCAAGCGAAGCTCTCTGGCTTACAGGCTTGTCTGGCAATCAGTGGTGCCATCTGTACCACACCGTCAGCAGCCATGGAGATCCTTCTAGATCTACCTCCTCTCCACATTCTTCTGGAGAGAGAGCCTAGATGGACTACATACAGAATTGTGCCCATTGCCAATAATTGCATAAATCAATTTAATGCAGAGTGCAACGGACTGTTGGTTGACACTGGAAGTCACAGCATTCTGGAAATGACCTCTGACTTTATGCCGCCAACTGTCAACTACGAACTGCCTTATAAAGTACTACTCCCGAGTAGAGAGGACTGGATCCTCCGGAAGAAGGAAATATTAAGAGCAGATAGTTGTTGATTCACAGATGGATCAAAAACACCTTCCGATTCTGGTGTTTTCAGTCGCAGACCCAAGACAGAGATATCTACCTGCCTAGGAATTTATGCGACTGTATTTCAAGCGGAAATTTACGCTATTGAATTGTGTGCGGAGAGATTGGATAAATCCAACCTCATACACAAGTCAATAAAAATATTCTCGGACAGTCAAGCGGCGTTGGAAGTTCTTGGCTCTTACCGAGCAACGTCTAAATTGGTAGCAAATTGCCAAAAACGACTCTCCTCGATAGAAAGACTTAACAGATTGTTTCTGATCTGGATTCCTGGCCTGGAAGGCAATGAAGCTGACTCCCTTTCAAAGTAGGGTGCTGCAAGCATCTTTATCGGACCAGAACCTGTCATTGGCATCGCTTTAGGCTTTGCCAAATAAACATTGAATACCTGGATGGCCAGAAGATTTATGGACTTTTGGCAGAATCTTCCAGGATTGGCTCACTCCAAAGCGTTTATTAACCCTTCGAAGCTTGATAACAAACAGTTGTTGGACTACAGGGATGAACTGCGATGTCTAACAGGCCTTCTTACAGGTCACTGTCATTTGAATCCATCATATGCAGAGACTCGGACTGTCGGAAGACAGTGTGTGTCGCCTCTGTTTGGAAAATGATGAAACATCAGAGCATATACTTTGTGCCTGCCCCGCTGGGGACCGAATTAGGTTTATAGAGTTCGGCAGAGCCGTACTCTACCATCTGACCTGAAACACCACTCACCATACAAACTAATCAGCTTCGCTAAGAAGCTGGGTTTATTTGGTCGAGTGTGGATAGGTGTGAGCCACAATATACCCTTGCAGGTTGCGGTGGAGGGTCGAATAGACCCACTCACTTTAGAGCTAACCTAACCCGTCTATCGAGACAATCAAGTGGAA